CGCCCGGCCATGGCGCCCTCGGGGCTCCTGGTGACCGGTGCCTCCTTCGCAGCCTTCCGGGGGATGCACTGGGGGCTGCAGCTGCTGCCCACGCCGGCATCTGCGGCTCAGGACCGTTGGAAGTGGCAGAACATCTGTGTCTCCCTGGTGCACAGCCTGCTCACGGGGCCCGGGGCGCTGCTCGGGTGCGGGGCTTAGAGGTTCGGGAGGGACCTGGGTGAGGGCGAGGGATGGGAAGCTCACGTTAGAAGACCTGGCGGCACCTTTGGAAGGGATGCTAAACCTTGAGAGTCTGAGGCTGGGATGGGTGGACGGGCGTGCCCTGCAGGAGAATCCGGTCTGCGCGAAGCTGACGGTGGCTCCCCCGTCTCCTCTAGGCTGTTGCTATACCCTCAGATGGCCGCCGACCCCATTCATGGCCACCCGCCCTGGGCCTTGGTGCTGGTGGCTGTATCTGTGGGTGAGTCTGCAGGGAAGGCTGGGCCAGCTTGGGGGCGGGGAACAGCTTCCAACGGTAATCCCAGGTGCGCTTCTGTCAGCGTCACTGAGGGAGAGGAAAGCACTGGGAAAGGCAGGGGCTGGAGATTTCTCTCCGGGCTGTACCCCAGCTGCCATCCTTCCCCATAGGTTATTTCCTGGCTGATGGAGCCGACATGCTGCAGAACCAGACCTTGGGCCAGGCCTGGGATCTTCTCTGTCACCATTTGGCGGTGAGATTCAGGGAGAGGCGAGGCAGGACGGGAGGTGTACCGACTGCACACCCCGATCTCTCATCAGCTTTGTGTCCCATGACTTCCCAGAGAGCCTCTGACACCCCTCTCTCCCCTGGGCTTGATCCTCCCAACCTTGGGCTGAATTGAGGGGCGGGGATTGACTGCTGGCACAGCTGCGAGTCTGAGCACTGCCTCAGGGGCTTGCATTCGCCCGCACAGGTGTCCTGTCGATTGCAGAAACCTTAAACGTGGAGCTTTTCTGAGAAGGAGGGAGCCCCGGTATTGGGAGTGGGAATGGGGCATGAAAGGCCAGGATGGAAGTTGGGGGGTTACTCTGCAGATGCTACAGCCCCAGAGAAGACAGCCTCTGGCCAAGGCTGCTTCCATCCTAGAGAACGATGGTTTCAAAGCCATGCAGGCTCCTGGCGTAGGGTAAGCATAAAGTTGGGTGTTTTCAGGGAAAGAATGCCAGAACATGCTTGGGAGGACTGGGATATTAGGACGCGATGGGTGGTAGGTCACGGAAGGTCTTCTAACCTTTGGCCCTTGCTCCCCAGGTAGTGAGCTGCCTCGGCACCTCCATTCTGTCCGACCACTATGTGGGCTTCTCTGTGGTGTCTCTGCTCCTCGAGCTGAACTCCGCCTGCCTGCACCTAAGAAAGTTGCTGCTGCTTTCTCACCAGGCCCCATCGTTGGCCTTCAGTGTGGCCAGCTGGGCCACCCTGGCCACCCTGGCCCTCTTCCGCCTGGCACCACTGGGGTGGATGAGCCTGTGGTTGCTCCAGCACCACCACCAGGTGCCTCCTGCTCTGGTTGTCCTTGGTGGCACCGGGCTGGCCACTGTGGGAGCCATGAGCATCTCACAGGGTGTTCGCATTTTGATCAGTGATGTCCTGCGGCCTCGGCCTCATTCATCCAACCCTGGGCACAGGGAAACTAGGGTCACCAGGACATGCAATGGGGAGCCTGCCACCAAGGATGGTTCCCCTCTCGGCCTGAAAGACTAGGGAGAAGCCTCGGGTTCTTCTTCTGCCACTCTTGCGGGAGGTCGGATCCGGGACAAGGAGATGATGGTCTTCAATGCACAGCCCCCCATTGGGGTAAGGACTGGACTGGATTTTCAGTATCTCAGTTCCTCTTCCAGCAAGTTCATACCCCTCCCCCACTCCTAGGATCTGAGAAGCAATGCTAATGTCGGTGGGTGGTTGGGAGTCTGGGCTAACGTTCATTGCATTTCATCATCAGATAACCGTCCTCTCCAGAAAACTAATTCAAGAGGTACAGCCAGTGCTACCAATAGAGGGTGGCAGGACCCATGAGGCTGAACGTAACTAGCAAGGGGAACAGAAACCCTTTGCTTTAGCACAGGGACAGATGAGGGAAGGTGAAGTCTCACTAGGAGTAGAGATCTGGTATGGAGGGGGTAAGGCCGGAGGGAAGAGAGATCTCACCTATGACCAAATTCTGGCAGTGGGAGGAGAACACCACGGGTGCTATCTGTAGCCAGTAGTTATGTAGACATACCAGCTGCCAAGAGACCAAAGACCTGGGTCATGGAGATTGCTGCTGATATTTCTGGTTCTCAAAACCCCACTGTTGTGTTTGTACTTAACCTGAGTCCTACTGTGTCCAGCATCTGCCTTTGCAAAATTTATTTTTAGAATATCTTGACCTTTCGAAGAAAAGGCATATTCTTAGAGGAATGAACATGGGGCTAGGTCTCCCTTCTTAGGACAGAGCCGGAGTAGGGACTCAAACACCCACTCTGGGTGCACAGTGTAGGGCAGTGGTTCTCAACCTTCCTAATGCCGCGACCCTTTAATGCAGTTCTTCATATTGTGTTGACCCCCAACCATAAAATTATTTTCATTGCTACTTCGTAACTGTAATTTTGCTACTGTTATGAATCGTCATGCAAATATCTGATATGCAGGATGTATTTTCATTGTTACAAATTGAACATACTTAAAGCATAGTGATTCATCACAAAAACAATATGTAATTATATATGTGTTTTCCGATGGTCTTAGGCGACCCCTGTGAAAGGGTTGTTCGAACCCGAAGGGGTCGCGACCCACAGGTTGAGAACTGCTGGTGTAGGGTCTTCCTAGGCCCAGGCCTTCATGGGAGAATGAGGAACAGGCAGAAGGAGCCAAGCAAAGGCTTCCTGTTGGCTGCAGAGCCATGAAGTCATTTGCAAGCTCTCCTTTCTCCCCTGCCACTTCTGCTGCATTTTTTCTTTTGTCTTGATTTATTGATTTTTTTTTTGGATGGAGAGAGAGAGAGAGAGAGAGAGAGAGAGAGAGACATCAATTTGTTGGTCTACTTATCTATGCATTCAGTGGTTGCTTCTTGTATGTGCTCTGACTAGGGATCGAACCTGAAACCTTGGCATATCGGGACGACACTCTAACCAACTGGCCAGGGTTACATGGCGGCATTTTTTTTTTCTTTCTATTGCATAAATCCGCTCCCTTCTTCAGGAAGAATAGCCAGGTTATGGGGAGTGTTGAGCAGATTAAGGTTGCTAGTCTACTAAACAATGGACAAGAGATAACCTGTAATCACCCACAGAAAAGATACATGAGCACAAGCAAGAGACAGGAAGATTTTCTAAAATTCCTGCCAAGAAGCTGAGCTAAAGAAAGACAAAGGGGATGTAGAGAAAGCCATGCATAGATTGAGGGAAAGCCAGGAAGAAAGGATTCGCTGCATAGAAGAGACAGAGGCAAAGGGAAACAGAGTGAGGGACAGAGGGTCCTTGACAGAAATATCAAGAAAGACTGTTATAGAAGCTTGAGATAAACCAAAATCGGAGAATTGGTAAAATGCTCATAAGCAAAGAGAACGATAAAAATAAAGAAAGGCTGACAGGAAGGAACCCCAAGGGTGGAAGGCACAGATAGGGCCTAGGCAGTGATTTAGTGAGAGTGAGTGACAAGGAGGAGCAACCAGGCTCCGGAGAGACGGAGTAACCGTGGCAGCTGAGAGATGAGCAGAGAGAGGAGAGAGAGGGGGAAAGAGATGAGGGGGGTTTGTCAGGGGAGCTGAGAGGCAGAAGAGCGGAAGGTGGAGGAGGCAGGCAGTGAAAAGATTTATTGACAGAAAAAGAAGGCAGGAAATATGTGGTGTTGGAGACGGGCAGAAAGACAAAGGACAAGCAGCTACAGTGCAAAACAAAGACAGACTGACAGGAACTGATAGGCAGAGACCTGGAGGAAAATGAGAAAAAGTCAGAATCAGGGAAGCGCACTGAGATAGAAGAATAGGCGAAGAGACGGTGGGGAATCGCAGAGAGAACATGGGGTAGGGGGCAGGATTAAATAAACACCCACAGGAAGGAACAAGGGAACGCACATGGAGACAGAGAAAAATACATAATAGAGATTAAGGGGGAAATGCGAGAGGGGGGTTGTGAGAGATCCCTATCAGAGAGTCGTTCCACTGAGGCTCAAAGGAGAAAAAAATAACAGGCTGAGGAGCAACTGTCACAGTCGGAAGCAGACACAGGCAGAAAATGAGAGCAGAGGGTGTCAATGTAATCAGACTAAAACTGGAGAGGCAAAGGTATAGAAGCTGAGGTAGAAAAACAAAGTAATGCCTTAACCGGTTTGGCTCAGTGGATAGAGCATCGGCCTGCGGACTGAAGGGTCCCAGGTTCGATTCCGGTCAAGGGCATGTACCTTGGTTGCGGGCAAAATATATTTAAAAAGAAAAACAAAGTAAAATTCTGTAGTTGTGTCTTCAAAACTCTAAACGGAGCGCCTTGATTAACAAAAACATTGCCCTTACGTTTAAAAACAGAAAACCACGAAATATGACATACTTCGGGAGTACGTCATAAATTCATGCTCCAAGTGAGCACCTTCTTTGGTAAGACTTGATGGTATCTTTCAAGGGTGCCCAAGAACTAGACTGTCAGGGAAATCCGGCTGTTTCTGTGGTTCACTAGTAAAACCCATACAGGAAGGGTGAGATTAGCTACTGGTGGGGCTAGACATGAGTGGATACCTGAAGATTTTGGGATCACACACATATTTCCATCGTGGCGACCCAGTGAAGCTTTAAGAAGGCGGAACTGGATTGTGATTATAATTGACTAAGTGACATCTCATCAACTAGAGCAGTTATAGATAGTGTGGACCAGATACAGATGATGGGAATCGGAGAGGCCTGGCCAATTAGGACCCGGAAAAGAGAGGCTAGATTAAACAGCCGTGGGCAAACTACGGCCCGCGGGCCGGATCCGGCCCGTTTGAAATGAATAAAACTAAAAAAAAAAGACCGTACCCTTTTATGTAATGATGTTTACTTTGAATTTATATTAGTTCACACAAACACTCCATCCATGCTTTTGTTCCGGCCCTCCGGTCCAGTTTAAGAACCCATTGTGGCCCTCGAGTCAAAAAGTTTGCCCACCCCTGAGCTAGAAAATGCAGAGGCTGACAGATGCTACATTTGGTACAATGAGTTGGGTCATGGAAATGCTCTGTCAGACCTCGCCATGGCTCAGTAAGGTGGTCCTCAAGACGGACTCCATGCCTACCAAGCTACTTGCTGGTGAGTTATTTATTTTCTAGCAAAGGGGAGGGGGCTTTCCTGGATGGGGGAACATTGATATTTTATGGGACATTATCCTGATCATAAATTAATAAATTGTTAGGCAAATAATTGCATCAGTCTTTTGTGAGTGTGGTTACATTGAGTCACTTTTTTTTTTTTTGGCTCCATTGATTTCCTGATATATAATGCAATGCTGGATTGTTGAAACTTTGCCGTGGGATGATTTCTTGACACTAACTTTATGACCTACAAAGCTCTAACGTGTTCTAAGATCCTCTACTATCAAAAAGCAAACCTGCTTGCCCTGGCTGGTTTGGCTCAGTGGATAGAGCGTCAGCCTGCAGACTGAAGGGTCCCAGGTTCCATTCTGGTCAAGGGCACATGCCCAGGTTGCAGGTTCGATCCCCAGTAGGGGGTGTGCAGAAGGCTGCCGATCAATGATTCTCTCTCATCATTGATGTTTGCTGATGTCAGCGGAAAGGAGAGGCTCAATCACAGCCTCTGACGAGGCCAGCTCATTGTTCTTTATAATACACAACATACACAACCTTCTGGCCGGGAACCAGGAAAGAGCGATGCCCCTTAGAAGTGCTGTGTTAATGGAAAGGCCTTAGTTTCAGGAAGCCCCTTGAGATTTTCAGCCGCCACCCCTTTGGGCAACAGAAGCATGATCCCAGTGAAATCTCTGAAGAAGCACATTTAAAAAATATATTTTTTTTATTGATTTCAGAGAGGAAGGGAGAGGGAGAGGAGAGATAGAAACATCAATGATGAGAGAGAATCATTGATCAGCTGCCTCCTGCACTTCCCCTACTGGAGATTGAGTCCAAAACCCAGGCATGTGCCCTGACTGAGAATGGAACCGTTGATCTCCTGGTTCATGGGTCAATGCTCAACCACAGAGCAACACTGGCCGGGCATGTATACATTTTTTGGGACACCAGTATATTTTTCTGTTATACCATCTGTGTCCAACATCTGCTACATTTGCCTGCCCAGCAGTGTAGAGATTTTCTTTTGAAAACCACTCCTCCCTCAATGGGCACGTGACCCAGGCCTAGCCAATCATAACACCATATCCTCTTTTCCTGAAAGAGTTTATGAGCCTCAGCACCATGACTTCCAGAACCTTTGGAAGATGCACTGTGTGTGCTAACATTGCTAAGCCAGCAGGCTGTAAGAGGTCTTCTCTGAGCACGAAGCCAACACAATCACACACACAAAGGACTCAAAAAGACAGAGATATCTAGCATCATGTGAGTCTCTGCTCAGGCTCGGCCTGAAGCCAGAACTTGCCCTGGACCGTTCAGTTACACAAACCAAAAAACTCCTGGATTTGCTCACGTGAATATGAGTTGAGGTTTCTTCACTTTTAACAATGAGTCTTTATTAACATGCCACCTCCAAGATTATCCATTCTTCCAGTTCAATTTGCAGAAAACTGAAGCCTACAACAGTTGCGATTTATCCAAGCACACCCAGCTAGTTTATGGCACGGCCAGAATTCGAATCTCAGTCTTTGATTTGGTGCAGGCTCCTTCTTATACACGATTTTACCTCTTTCTTGATAGAAAGGTTAAGGAGTGGAGAAACCTTCAGGTGGGAAGATAAGATCTTGCTGACAACTGAAGATCAATCAAGTCAGACAAATGGCCTCTGAAGTGGTATTTATAAGTCAGGATGCTTCAGTTTGAAAGCCAGACTTCTATTCACCGAGTATTGATTTCTGCGCTTTTCAGGAATGCAGTGACTGTTTAGGACAGAGGTCCATTTCAGCTTTCCCCGCAATCATGAGCACCACTCAACTCCGTGTTGTGAGCACATTCTTTCCCTGCCTTTAACCTGGTGGGAGGCAACCTTCACTTGCCACATCTTCTGTAGGAACTGAACACAGAAGTGACTCAGACTGAGCTAAGGATGCAAGCCATGCGGGCTTTAGGAGTAGAAGAATGGGAGTTCGATCCTAGTGCGATACGACGATCCCTGCAAAGGGCTCTCTGCCTACCTCCACCCAACCCTCCCAGAAAACAGACTTGGGTAGTAGCTGACATTCCAGGGATAGTAAGTGACTTCTTTGGGTTACGCTTTGCCCCTTCTCTCTGGCCTGCCTGCTCGTGCCCTTGAGAGGACTCCTTCACCTCCTTGAACTACTCTGATTGTTATTGTTAAACCCGGGGGCTAAGAGACTGGCACAGTGGCTCTCTCTGCTCCAGATCCGAGGTCAGGGCACCGTTAGAGAGGGACAGTGGAGCCTGAAGAACTGGGGTGCCAG